GCAAAGTGACAAGCTGCCTCTCCATGAATAACCCAACAACATAGGTTTGTCAATATCCTACCTATATAAATGAATATGATGCAATACTGATTCAGCAAACTGAGCATTGCACATGTGCAAACATGTCACCTTTTTCTGGCTAAATGCCAACTAAAATGACTCAGCCTTTCTTCCTCTGCTTAGTCGTTCTCCCATAATGCAGACAGCCAATTCCATATTTTTCTCACATTTCCATCTAAAAAAAAGAAAAGAAAAAGCACATAGAAAACAAATGGAGCAATTTGACTGGGTATTACACTCACACCCCAAAAAGTCACCCATGCCATAACTATTTTTAACTTGGGGAATATCTACAGTGTCATATCACATTCAAAGCACATGTACAGCCTGTGCATGCCCGAGATAACAGATAAGGCCTAGCAAAGTTGAAGATACTAGATAGGAGTAAATTCTATATACTCTGATGTGAAACCAAAAAATCCCACATGCTGGTAAAATGACCTTGACAGCTAAACGAGGAAGCTCTTTGCCATTATCACAACCGTCTTCTCCAGAGATCTGCAGTCAGACTGAAGTCGCACCTGACGGATTTCTCAGTTATAGTCATTATTGCAAATTATTACAATGGAAAGAACAGTATTTTTCAGCCTACGTTCTCAGTCTTAAGAGTTGCTTTTATTCATTCTATTAGTTTGTTTAGCTTTGGTTTGCATTATTACACCCTCACCATCCAAGCCAATTGTTAAAAATACTCAGTATCCAACTTTGGAATCCAGTCCTATCGAGAATAAAATCGTGTTAACAGCTCTTAGTGATTCTGAGAAGAGAAACTTCTCAAAATATTTGCAGAAGATAGTTTTGTTTATATCAAGGTTTTCATTTTTAACGTATATCTACAGAACTGGTCTTTTGTCTCCAGACGTTAAGGATACTTGGGGGCCTTTAATTGGAGCCCTCACCAATACTGAGGTTACCATTTCACTACCTGCCAAAACCAAAGGTAACTCCCCCTCTGCAAGCCACAGGTACAAAAAGATCCAGGGGAATGTCCAAGAAGCAGTTGGTCTTCCAGATGCAAAGGGACATTTACCTCTAGTTCCCACGCCATATTTTCTACACTTTCCAGCATTTTCTATGGATTTCCATTCTTCTTTTCAGCAATAATCTGCCTAGTGGTTGTTGTGGGTTTTTCTGGTTCTTTGGCCATGTTCTGTAGGTTGTTCTTCCTAATGTTTTGCCAGTCTCTGTGGCCAGCATCTTCAGAGGACAGCACTCTGTGCTCTGGTGTAGTTGGCTTGGGAGTGGAGTCTGCCTAGCTTTGGAATCTGCCTAGCTTTGAAGCTCAGAATATGGACATCCTCCTCAAGAGTGCAAAGATTCTTACACAGTCAGAACCTCCTCCTTTTTTTGCTTCAGAGATGATTATCTTGAATGCCAGAAAAAGCACAAGCTAACAACTCATTCACCACAAAGCATTGAGAGCAAGACCATTTTTGGCTTCAGGGCATGAAGAGTGCAAATGTTTGCCTTACCTGCTTTCCAGCACAGAACACACGGTTACACATTGCCTAACTTCAGCATCCCATCATCTTATGAGAAGAGTCTTCATCTCTTCCTGTTCTGAGGTATGCTCAGGTATTTCAAAGGGAGGGGATTTTTTTTCCACACATAGGAATATTAAGATAGCACCGTCAGCCTAAAGAGGAAACAAAACCTTGCGTGGAACAGGTAAGTGTGCTACGAAGAGTCGAAGACGACTTGACGACAGATGAGTGCAATAGTTTGCAAAAGCTGTGTGAGACCCTTGGGAGCCATGACAAAACAGAGGAGGGAGGAACAGGCTGAACGCATCTGTGATTTGACTCAGTCATAATAAGCCATTTTCACAAATTCATGTGCATAGGGAACATCCACTGAAGACTTCAATAAGAAATTTATTTTCTGTTTGCTACATCATGTTTTTTCATTCATACGATGAAAAATTGGAATGCCCAGTAATACCTGTTGAGTCTAAATTTGTCTTGATGGCGTGTGCGTGTAGCTTATGTTGGTCAGATGTGAAGATCGTGAGGATGAATTCTACACAAAAGAGAAGTAAATATGCTTATCTAGTGGAACACCTCCTCCCACCTAGATCTACCTGAGTCACTCGTTCTAGCCAGGAAGGGCAGCTAAGGGGCCTAAGAACAAGAAACCGGGCCTTCTCGGCTGTGCCCCCTCGCCTTTCAAACAGTCTGCCCCCCCAGAGATCTGTCTGGCTCCCTCTCTGGGTGTTTTCAAGAGCAAACTTAAAACCTGGCTCTTTAGGCAGGCTTTCCCTCCTGTCATCACTTGAATATTTTTTTCCCATTTTGAATTATATTACTACTGTTGTTTTTTTTAATTTTATGATATTGTTTTTATTCTATCTATTATTGTTAGCCACCCAGAGTAGACACATACATACATACATACATACATACATACATACATACATACATACATACATACATACATACATACATACATACATACATACATAACTTATTCAGAAAATGGTGCACGATCAACCCATTCCAACACAACCAGGAGCAGAAGAGCACTAGGGTGGTAAAGAGAAAAGGAGATGGCAACAAGGTGTTTTAAAATGGACCAGCATCTCATTTATAATTACATGGACTTGAATTTAGTTATTTTAAAGTACATTTTCTCAATGATCCTGCAATCTCTCATCATTCAGTGATATAAAAGGAACGTCCCACTCCAAAGGTACAATGTTCATGTCTGTATTCTAATTATTCTGTATATTTGCTGCCAAATGGCATCTCTTCTATCAGCTCTGTTTTAATACCCCTATGAAAGAGATGATTGGGTTCTAAGCCACCTTGGGTTCTTTTTTACAGAGAAAGGCAGAATAAAAATATTTTGAATAAATAAATAAATACATTGTAAAGGTTGTGGAAATCAAAAGATCTCAGTCACTTTTTTTACAACCCCAACATTCAAAGTGTTAAATCAGCTCATATTCTAGAGGAAAATTATATCCTATTTTATATTCCTTGTTTTTGTATAGTTCATGTTTCAAGAAAGCCTAGCCCAAGTTTACCTCCATATTTTCTATCTTGTTGCATTATGTAGATTGATGGACTCCACAATGCAAATTACAATAAGAAGATAGCAATGGCTAAGAAGGAAGCTTCAGCAAAGTTTAATCCAAGGCAAATACATATAGATTTAATCTTAGGGGAGGGAGGTGACAAGGCATTCTGTTTGCCACTTTGCAGGATATTGACATTTCGAAATTGATGAGACAATGAGAGAAGAAAAAGGCACTATAAATAAGACATGGAAAAGTCCCATTGCAAATAGGGGAAGGAATATTTTGAGATAACTGAAATACTTTCTGTCTCAATCTCACTTTGTATCGGATGTGTTGACTATAAAGTGGTGCCTTGACTTACGAACACCCTACATACAAACATTTCGACTTACGAACAGCTGAGGCTGTTCTGTTTCTCCAGGTGAAGCCAAGGGGAGGCTTTAGAATCAATTCAGATCCAGATACAAATGGCTCTGGGCTGAATTGGGATCCTTTCTGAAACTCCAAAGTGGCCTAAAAAGTAAACTGGAAGGCCTGTTCACAGCTTTATTGGAAATGATGGCTCTTCATCTCAACCAAGATGGTGTACTCACCATTTCAAATCTAGCCTTTAGTGAGCGAAAGACTCAGGATGCGAAAACAGAATCATTTCAGCTTTCCCAACTTTCGTTATCCCCCTCCCCCCCCCGAAATCAATCCTTGCCATTGCATGTATGTGGAATATCCGGAGAGAGAAAGGAAAGTTCTACAGAAAAATAAAAGGAAACAAAAGAAAACTGAAAAGAAAACTAAAGAAAACTAAAAAGTAGGCTTATGTGCCTCCTGAAATCTCCACACATTCTCTTGGGTTTTACTTCTGCGCCCCTCATTCTATTTTGGCATTTTAGCATGGATCATACAGACATTTAGATTTGCCCACAGCAAGATTCCTCCCTCCAATTCTCTGCCATTTTTCTCTAATTTCATCTCACAAGAACATCCATCTATTTCAAATGGTGGTGGACTGACTCGGCTTGTAGGAAATTGTGTTAAAATGATACAGACTGGAAGCTGGCTAGTATATATAATTTTAAATGAAATTCGAGGCTGATCCAGTGCTTAAGCTAATAGTGGCTTAGGTCTCTGGCTGTGGAGCCAGAGGTTGTGAGTTCGATTCCCCACTGTGCCTCCTTGAGAGGGGCTGGACTCAATGATCCATAGGGTCCCTTCCAACTCTGCAGTTCTGAGTTCGAAGGGGCCCTATGGGGACCCCAATAGTAACAATAACAACAATAACAACAATAACAACAATAAAAACAACAACAACAACAACAACAATAATAATAAAAGAACAAGGCTTTGGTTTGCCTCCCGCTTCAGGGAAATTGTTAAGGAACCTCTCCTTCCCTTGGGCAAATGTAATGAAATGTTTCATCCAACTTCTTTGGCTGTAGATACAATGGAGACTTTGAGAGTATATGTGTATATGTGGTGTCCCTTTTTTCTGCACGAGGAATCTAAGATCCACCAACTGGAATCAAGCAGAAAATTAAAAAAGGTCAAAGTATCTTTGTGAAAAATTATTTTGTTTTTAGAGGATCACTCAATAGCTACAAATGACTTGGGTCTTCGGTTCTCCAGAGTTTTTCCTCAGGTAAAGATGTAATTAACAGCTGAATATTTTTCTTGAAAAAAGACTGGGAAAGCAGGATGAAGATTGTAGATCCAGCACAATGAAAGTTATTGCCTTATAGTTTCTCTCTTCTCTGGAAACAAAAATCTAATTTGTGCCTGCTCTGGATTCCTTCAAAGCCTTCCAGGGTATACAGGCCTGCTTCATTTGGTTTAATCCAGATAGGCAGAAAAAAGCAACTGACTTGCTAGTTTGCCAGGAGCACAGTAGGAAAGTGAACCCTCCTGCATTTCTTTTCTTCAGGCAGACATGTCCTTCCCAGAAGAAGCACCCAAAGAGAACATGAACTTGGTGACCAACTTCACCTTTTCAATCCTGCCTTTGCTGGATCCTGCAATGGAATCTAATGCAACGTATAATGCTTCCAGATTCTCAAGCAACAGTAGCTATATTCCAGAAGATGATAATTTTTATAGGTTAAGACTGACTGTGTTTCTAATATTCACTCTTCTCGTTAGTCTTTTTGGAATGGCAGTGAATGGAACCGTCATCTGGATTCTTGGTTGTCGTATGAATAGAAATTCTTTCACCATCTACATCTTGAATCTTTCCATTGCAGATTTTACTTTGCTAACAGTTCTGGCACCACACAGTATATGTTCAATTCTGAATTTCTTTCATTACATGGACTACACTGTTGTTTTGTTTTCATTATTATCCAGCCTTTTCCTTTTCGCCTTCAGTACAAGCCAATTTCTACTGGCAGTCATCAGCATTGACAGATGTATTTGTATCTTTTTCCCACTTTGGCATAAGTGTCACCGGCCACCACATTTGTCGACCATTTTGTGTGTTGCGGTCTGGATCCTCACCTTCCTAATTTCTGCTATTGATTTTGCCCTCTTCCTCTCTATTCAGTATGCTGAGATATGGTACCATCAATTTCTCCTGAATGCTGTGCTTTGCATGCCAGCCATCTCTATCTCCACAATAGCCATGTTGATTAAAGTCTGCTTCATGTCGCCACACCTGAAACAGAGGAAGCTTTTAACAGCTATCTTGTTGGCCCTCCTCTTCTTCCTCTTCTTTGGATTTCCAATGAATGCCTTCAGATTTTTCTTCAGATATCGCATTCCTGCTTCATCCTATTTTAATTTCTATGCTTTAATGGGTGCAACTCTGAACAGTGCTATTAATCCTGTCATCTATTTCCTAGTAGGAAGAAATAAGAAGACTCAGTCTAGTGGAAGACTAATGAAAATATTGGAGAAGCTTTTCCAGGAGGGGGAATATTGTAGGGATGAAACAGAATCCACACTTGAAACATGCTTATGATCCCAATAAGCGAACTTAAAATTTATGATCTTTGGAATTACAGTTCTAAAGATGAAGATCTGTTTACAATGTTCCATGAATTGTACTGGTTACCATATTTTTCCATGTATAAGACTTTACTTTTGTCTAAAATCTTTAGACTAAAAATTGAGGGTCGTCTTATACACAGAAGTAAGCTGAGGAGAGAAAAAACAAGTGGAGGGGAAAGCAGAGATCAAAGCAACCCTGCAGTGCTTTGATCTCTTTTCCCCTAAACTTGCTAAGCTCCAGTTAGATTTCTTAATTTTGGGTTAGAAAAGTGGACGGTTTCTTATACAAGGGGGCGTCTTATACACAGAAAAATACAGTAAGCGCGCAATGTCCAGAAAGTAAGAGTTCTGTGCTGTAAATTATGTATTTAGGAAGTTTTAGAAATGATTTGCCATAAACCTTTGAGGGGGCAAGAGACAGAAGTATTGCACATGACTGTGACGATAAATGTTAAAATCAACATATCTGTTCCTTCCTTTCCTGATATTTAATCAAATCAACTGGAAAAGCTGTCATAGCTCCCATAGTTTGGAGGGGCTAAAATGGTTCTTTGTTGTGTATGAGTTGAGATCATGACACTTCAACAATCAAAATTCATCACTTCGAACTCACCAGTTATATGGCATATAATTGGTGAGTTCGAAGTGATGAATTTTGATGAATTTTCAATGAATCGGCAATTTCCGATGAATATTGTGATTCATTTTTTGACTTGCTCCCATCTCTAGTATCTTGCACAACTGATGTGCCATTTCAGAATAAACCATACATTTCTGTAGCGTCTTCCTTCCTATTTATTAGCCCAATTCATGTCCTATACGCAAACCCGGTGGGAGCAGGAGTAAAGGGCAGGATGAAAGCTGAAAGCTTTACCGAGAAAGTTACTTCTGTGAACAGTTGGGAAAACAAAAGATGAAAATGTGCTAGGATGTAAACATTGTTTTCAAAGACCTGTTTTCCTCTCAATTTGGGGAGCTGAAAGTACCAAGAAAAGTACTTAGTTTTGAAAAATGGATATTTCATACAATGAAACAGTGTACATGTGCACACATACACACCATGAATCAGAATTATATAAAATGTGGCTCATCCCTCTTGGGATCTTCCAGGAGCCACATTTCTTCTTTTCTTAAAAAAGAAAAGGTGGGAGATAACAGGATTCTGAGGTTTCAAAAACAGCTTGCAGGGGTTTCAGTGTCATGCAGAATACTCACTATATTTCTCTTAATTTTAGGCAGAATCAATGAGACTACTCTATGAGGAAACAGAAAGCCGTAGCACAATGACACAAATCTAGCTGGTAGTGAGACAGTGAGCTTTCCATACGACCCTTAAGTTCCTTGTGCTTTGGAGAACACAGATCTGCAAAGTGCAAGCACTCTTTTCCCCTGAGAAGAAAAACCTACACACAACAGAGAGCAAACCCAAACCATCCCGTCCTTCAGAACTTTCACACCTCTATGCAGGAGTCATCCTTTCTGATGCAAAATGCTTAGTTTTGCATGAATTGTACTATTTAGACGAACTGAACAAAAATTTCAAAAGAATGCAGTACGGTAGTGGTTCTTAACCTTTGTTACTCGGATGCTTTTGAACTGCAACTCCCAGAAAACCCAGCCAGCACAGTTGGTGGTGAAGGCTTCTGGGAGTTGCAGTCCAAAACTCCTGAGTAACCCAAGGTTAAGAACCAGTGCAGTACAGGACTGTTTGTGCAAAGCAGCATCCTGACTAGAGCAAGAGTAGTATTGAGGGAGCCTGAATATTTCTTACTAGGGAAGAGACAATGTCGTTTATGGCCGTCTGGCCACATAGTACTAGAACTAGAGGACATCCACTCCAATTGAGTGTTGGGAGAGTGAGAACAGACCAAAGGAAATATTTCTTGACCCAGCGGGTTGTTCTTCTTTGGAACTCCTTGCCACAGGATGTGGTGATGGCATCTGGCTTAGATGCCTTGAAAAGGAGATTACACAAATTTCTAGAGGAAAAGTCCATTGCAGGTGACAAGCCATAATGGGGATATACAGTTTCCAGGCTTAAAAGGAAGGTACCTCAAAATGCCAGATGCAAGGGAGTGGGTTCAAGAGACAGGGATCTCATTGTCTTGTGTGCTCCCAGAGGAATCTGGTGGGGCCACTGTGAGATACAGGAAGCTGGACTAGATGGGCCCTTGGCCTGATCCAACAGGGCTCTTCTTAAGGTCTTATATTCGTATGCTCTTATGTTCTAGAAGATGCTTGATTTTTCTGAGAAACAATAGCTGCATAGGATTCTTCTTTTTCCCTCTCACCCTGGTACCCAAGATTTCAGGAAGCTAGGATAGATTCTGTGCCCTTTTGTGAAAAAGGTAAACCTTAACCCATAACCTCATATTCTATCCCAAGTGGAGCTAAGAAAAAAACCTAGTGAATTAAGGGAAGTCTGGAAGCCGTCTGCCAGAACATGACAGAAACCTGGCAAATATTGAGATTGAGAGAGAGAGAGGAGAGACAGCATAGCATCAGGTAGTCTATGGGTCTTCTCTGTGGTTTGGAATCAGTGGCTCAAGTTGTACATCCTTGTGGAAAACAGAGAGGTAAATACTTTTTCCTTCCATTCTGACATAGGAGGATGTGGCACCTTCCGAAAGAGCATCATTTTCTCATTTATTCTTCTATGTGTTCCTCTTCTCGGTCCATCTTATGTTAAATGACACACTTCACTAGCACTTCCTCCTCTCCTTCATGGAACCCAGTCTTTGCTTCCAGGCTTTACGTGGAAAACACATCTTTGAATCCTCTCATTTCCTGTTTTTTTTTTGGGGGGGGGGGTTAATGCACAAAGAGAACTAACTCAGCACATCGGTTGAATATCATCCCTTCTGGAATATCCCACCCAGTGGCTTCAGTTATAAAATAGGAGGCCATCTGCAATAGCACATCATCATGACAAATGTCTATCAGATGTAGCTGGAGTACTAGATAACACCTAAAGACATCTCAAATGCCAGATAAGGGTAAACATCTACATTTTCACATGAAGCCTATATGGACTGGTCAAATGATCTTGGCAGCTAAACCAGGAAGCTGTTACTTATTATCATAACGCTCTTCTCAAAATACAATTAGATATGACATTAGCTTCAGATTTGGACATACTTAGAACTGAGCTTCTTAGAACTGAGTTAGGGACATGGTGGCGCTGCGAGTTAAACCACAGAAGCCTCTGGGCTGCAAGGTCAGAAGACCAGCCGTCGTAAGATCGAATCCACGTGATGGAGTGAGCTCCTGCCGCTTGTCCCAGCTCCTTCCAACCTAGCAGTTCGAAAACATGTAAAACTGTGAGTCGATAAATAGGTACCACCTCAGTGGGAAGGTAACAGCGTTCTGTGTCTAGTCGCGTTGGCCACGTGACCTTCGGACAAACGACGGCTCTATGGCTTGGAAACGGGGATGAGCACCACCCCCTAGAGTTGGACACAACTGGACTAAATGTCAAAGGGAACCTTTACCTTTTAAAGGATACCTAGTACTGCTTTGTGTAATGTCCCATGGATTTACATTCCCATTTTCAGTCGCAATCTATTACTTATTTAATTTATTTAAAATATTTCTATCCTACCTTTCTCCTCAAAAGGACCCAAGGTGGTGTACATCCTTAGAACATTATTTAAAAGACAAAACCAGTAACCACATATATTTTTAAAAATGATTAAACAAATATTATATTAAAATAGTAACTAAAAGAAATATTAAAACACATTGAAACAACAGAGCACAACAATCCACTTTAAACCCCTCTCAGGCCACCAGTCACTAAGGGAAAGCTTGCCTGAAGAGAAATGTTTTTGCCTGCTGGTGGAAGGACAACAAAGAGGGGGCCAGGCTGGTCTTCTGTGGGAGGGAGTTCCAGAGTCTGGGAGCAACAACAGAGAAGGCCCTCTCCTGTGTCCCCCAGCAAGTGTAGATGTCACAGAGAGAAAGGCCTTCCCTGATTATGTTAATGTCCAGGCAGGCTCATAGAGGAAAGGTAATGATGATTGTGGCATTCACCCTTGTGGCCCCTGCTTGTCCTTCTGTTACAAAGGCTCACGTCATGTTTTCCTCTCGCTGCCACCAGTGGATTACCTCAGTCCACAATATAAATGACATTTCTCAGGACACTTGTGAACAGAAACAGAACTTATTTATTGCAGTGAAGCAGATTGAATAATAAAAAAGTCATTCAGATACACATTATACACAAGCAAATCATTAACAGTTCTCTCAGTACATACTTCTTTTCCCTTGCAATGTCATTACCACCTTCTCTACCTATTTTCTTTACCAGCCCTATCACTCAGTATCTGTTCCCGCTCTCTCTGACTAACCAGCCCTTATCTGACTCCTCCTTCTCCCACCAGACCTCATGTAAGTGCTGACTCCGCCTCTCCAGTCCACTCATAGGCTCATGCAAATCAGCTCATAACTATGAATGACACGAGTGATATGGGATGATCGTCACAATGATCTTCTAATTTTATTTTTCTCAAGACTGCAAAGATTCTTACACAGTCAGAATCTCCTCCTTTTAGCTTCAGAGATGATTATCTTGATGGCCCATAAAAGCACAAGCTAACAACTCATTCATCATAGAGGTCTTGTGGACAGGACCCCTTGTTCCTCTTCCAGTCAGTTTTGGGATTTTTTTGCACATGGGACATGAAGAGTGCAAATCTTTACTTCACCTTTGTTCTGCAAAGATTCTTACACAGTCAGAATCTCCTCCTTTTAGCTTCAGAGATGATTATCTTGATGGCCCATAAAAGCACAAGCTAACAACTCATTCATCATAGAGGTCTTGTGGACAGGACCCCTTGTTCCTCTTCCAGTCAGTTTTGGGATTTTTTTGCACATGGGACATGAAGAGTGCAAATCTTTACTTCACCTTTGTTCCAGCACAGACTTGTTCCTCTTCCAGTCAGTTTTGGGATTATTTTTTTCCACTCAGGACATGAAGAGTGCAAATCTTTACTCCACCTTTGGTTGCAGCACAGAATACTCTGACACACTTTGGACACCTTTGGCTTCTCATCATCTTACCAGAGGACTGCTCATCTCTCCCTGTTCTCAGGGATTCTTAGGTATGTGGAAGGAAGGAAGCTTTTTATTCAGCACAGAGAAGTTAAGTGATTCCGTCAGTGGCATGACAAGCAAACAAGACCTCAGGTGGGAGAGTTTGGAAAGGCTGCACGAGCCCCTTTGCAGCCACCAGCAAACAAAGGGGGCAATAACAGGCTGAACGCAGGGGTGATTTGACTCAGTCAACAAAAGCCATGTTGATGTTGCGATGTATGAAAAATGATCAGCCAGAGCCTTGGACAGGAAACTTCTTTTGAGTCTGCTTGATCATATTTATTCCTCAATGGAAAGCTAGAGCAACCACACAGTCTAAACACTAGGGGTGTGTTCCTCATTTGATGGGCTGTACATGCCTTAGGATTGTAGGTTCTGAGGCACCCCAGGAGAAATTTTGTACCAGAGAAAAGGAAATGAGTTTATTCCATGTGAAGGTGGAGGGTCAACCTATTCCATGAGGAGAAGGAACAGCAGAGAAGAGGACAGGTGAGAGGAGATAGCAATAAAGTCATTAGAAATCTATGTGCCAATATTTATTAAGACTCTCCATTTGACCCATTCCATTCTGTTCCAACTTTTACCTTGTCCCAGTTTTTAAAATCCCAACAATGTGGAAATGAAGCAGTTTGTATTTTACAGAAAAATGATCCCCTTACTGCATCTTAGGGTGTCTGTTTTCGTATTATTGATGCTTAAACAGAATACAGTCTTGATTTACCCTGTTGCTTCTGTCCTGCTTCTTTAAATAGACTGACGGGCTCTGCAGTGTGAATCCCAGTATGCCATCATAGTGGTGCCTACAAAGAAAGAAGCTTCAGTGAGGTTTAATCCAAGGTAAGTAAGTGCAGAGTTGAATCCCAAATGTGGTCTTCTGCTTTGCTGAAATACTCACCGCTAGGTGTAGGCATTTGGAAATTAGAAATGAATGAGATGAACACAGAGCATGAAGAAGAAGTGAAATCCCAATAATGCATGGGTGAAAGGATATATAAGGAAGTTTTCTTCTCATTCTCTCTCAGCAGTAGAATTCGTGTTTGGAGTGGTTGGTATCATAGAATCATAGCAAAATGAAGTTGGAAGGGGCATACATGGAGATCAGTCCAGCTCCCTGCTTCAGTTGGAAGGGGCATACATGGCCATCAAATGCAACTCCCTGCTCCAGGCAGGAATACAATCAAAGTATATCTGCCAGGTGATTATCCAAGTTATTCCTGAACACCTCCAGTGTAGGAGCACTCACCAACTCCCGAGGGAACTGGTCCCACTGTTGTACTGCTCTAAACTACTATGGAAATAGGGTTGATTGGGGTTATGGAAAATACATCTAAAATGGTAAGAGCACTCACCAACTCCTGAGGGAACTGGTAGGGAGTGGAAGGTGGCTAGTTCACATATTTTAAGCGATGTCTGAGGTTAATCTAGCACATGTCTTGATGAAGATCAGGCTGAAAACTGTAGCTGCATTTTCAACTGCACAGCAGGAAAGTGAACCCTCTTGCCTTTCTTTTCCCTTCAGGCTGAAGTGTCTTTCCCAGAAGAAACACCTTCTCATTGAGACTCTCAGTGGATCCCGCAATGGAATCTAATGCAACACACAATAGTACCGCATCCTCAAACAATGGAAACAATATTCCCATAGCCATAGCTTATTATATCATAGCCATCTTCATTCTTCTTGTCAGCCTTCTTGGAATGGTGGGGAATGGTACCGTCATCTGGATGCTTAGTCGCTATATCAAGCGGAATCCTTTCACCACCTACATCCTGAACCTTTCCGTTGCTGACTTTGGTGTGCTGGTGACCTTAGGAGTCATTTATATATGTTGGGTTTTTGGTGGGCTGCATCCTATTGAGTGCCCTTTGGGTGTAACTGTGTTATTATTTCCTTTTTTCCTTTTCACGTTCAGTACGAGTCAATTTCTGGTTGGGTTTTTGGTGGGCTGCATCCTATTGAGTGCCCTTTGGGTGTAACTGTGTTATTATTTCCTCTTTTCCTTTTCACGTTCAGTACAAGTCAATTTCTGCTGGCAGCCATAAGCATTGACAGGTGCATTTGTGTCTTCTTCCCACTTTGGCACAAGTGTCACCGGCCATCCCATTTGTCCACCATTTTGTGTGTCACAATATGGATCCTCACCTTCCTGTTTTCTGTTATTGTTAATGCCTTCACATTCATTCTTAGATATCCTGAATTGCCATATTATCAGTTTCTCCTGAATGCTGTGCTTTTCATGCCAGCCATGTTTATCTCTACTATAGCTATGTTAATTAAAGTCTGCTTCATGTCACCGCACCATAAACGGGGGAAGCTTTTAACAGCCATCTTGGTGGCCCTTCTCTTCTTCCTCTTGTTTGCTTTTCCAATGAATGCTGTTCAGCTGGTCTTCACAGACCACATTCCTGCTTCTTCCCACTATGCACCCATTGGTGCATCTCTTAATAGTGCTATTAATCCTGTCATTTACTTCTTGGTAGGAAGAGAGAAGAATGCTCAGTCTGGGAGGAGAATAAAGAAAATATTGGAGAAAGTTTTCCAGGAGGAGGAATCTTGTAAGGAGGAATGGCATTTCTCACTTGTAACACGTCTATGATCCCACTAAGTGAACTTAAAACAATGATTTTCAGAATTATGGTTCTAATGACACAGATGCTTTTACACTTCTTCCTCAAATGTTTGAATAAAACCTTCTATATCTAAAAAGAAAGTCCTTGTAACTTTTTCTAAAATTATGATGGTTGTTGTTCTTGTTTAGTCATTTAGTCGTGTCCGACTCTTCATGACCAGAGCACGCCAGGCCCTCCTGTCTTCCACTGCCTCCCAGAGTTCGGTCAAATTCATGTTGGTCGCTTCGATGACACTGTCCAGCCTTCTGGTCCTCTGTCGTCCCCTTCTCCTCTTGCCTTCACACTTTCCCAACATCAGGGTCTTTTCCAGGGAGTCTTCTCATGAGATGGCCAAAGTATTGGAGCCTCAGCTTCAGGATCCATCCTTCCAGTGAGCACTCAGGGTTGATTTCCTTCAGAATGGATAGGTTTGTCCTCCTAGCAGTCCAGGGGACCCTCAAGAGCTCGTGAAAAGAAACAAAATTAAAAGCCAGATAATACATTATCACTATATTAAAAAGCATTAAGTTTATTGAAACTTGGTATGAACAATATTAAAACCCCCCAAGTAGAACACAGAATAAAAGGCTCTCTTAAAAAAAAAACAAAAAAACTTGGTCAAGCCATTTAAAGCAGCGGTTCCCAACCTTGGGCCTCCAGATGTTCTTGGACTACAACTCCCAGAAGCCTTCACCACCACCTCTGCTGGCCAGGATTTCTGGGAACTGAAGTCCAAGAACATCTGGAGGCCCAAGGTTGGGGACCACTGATTTAAGGGAAAGCCTGCCTGAAGAGAAAGGTCTTCATCTGCTTCTGGAGGGACAACAAAGATGGGGCCAGGCTGACCTCCCATGGAGCAGCATCAGAGAAGGCCCTTTCCCATATTGCACCTGTGTACAGTGGACCCCTGACTTACAGACGGCTTGACTTACAGACTTTTTGAGTTACAGACTTCTCTGGCCGCAAAATTTAGGTTTGACTTGCAGCCTGAGAATTGACTTACAGACCAGAAAAAAACCAAAATGGAACAAAAACGGCCTGTTACGGGATTTGACCTACAGACTTTGGAGACTTGACCTACAGACTTTTTGACTTGAGAACCGCCTTCCAATATGGATTCAGTTCTCAAGTCAAGACCCCACTGTAGGTGGTGGGACTAAAAGAACGGATTCTCCTGATGATCTTAGTACTCTTGTAGGCTCATCGAGGGATACATGGTCCTTTATCTTGGTCCCAATGCTTTTCATCTTTCCAAGTCTAGATGATTTAGGTCATAGTAATTTGAAGTTTGAATCCCAAGTTAAAGCCAAGGTCATCATTTGAAATACTGGCATCTCAATAGCCCAGGGGAGAGAGGGGAGAACCATCCTGCTCTTCTCAAGAGTAACACACTCAGAATCTCCTCCCTTAGCTTGAGATATGATTATCTTGATGCCCAGTAAAAGAACAAGCCAACAACTCATTTGTCAAAGAGGAAGGGTGAACAAGATTTCTGCTGCCTCTTGCAGTCAGTTTTAGAAGGAACCGAATTTTTGCCTTCAGGGTGTGAAGAGCAGAAATCTTTACCTTCTTTCCAGCACAGAAATATTGCTTTTTCTTTGCCATCACATCATCTTCCTGGAGATTTGCTCATGTCTTCCACTTCTCAGGCTTCCTCAGCTATCCTCAGGTATGTTAAAGGGAGGAGGCATTGTTTTAACTTGTTGAAAATTTAAGTGATTCAATCAAATGACCTGATGAGCAAAGGGGACCTTGGATGGGATTGTTTGCAAAAGCTGGACATAATGCTTGGGAACTCTAATAAATGTGGATTAAAATAACAGGCTGAACATATCTATGATATGATCCAGTCGACATTAGCCAGATGGATGTATTTATTTATGATGGGTGAGAATACTGGGGACTTGAGTAAGAAGTCTCTTATTCAAGTCATGCTCCATTGTGTTTTTCATTAATATGATAAAAAGCTTGGATGCCCAGTAATACCTTCTCAGTCAAAATGATTCTTGGTGAAGTGAGAATGTGTCTTACAATGGACAGTTGTAAAGATCATGAGGATGAATTCTGCACAAGAGAGAAAGGAATGAGTTCATTCAATAAAATGGTGGAAGATCAAACTCTTCCCAGAAAACAGGGAGCAGCAGAGTTTAGGGTGGGGGAGAGAAAAGGAGATGGCAATGAGGTGATTAGAAATGGATCAGCATTTCTTTTATAAGGCCTTAGATTTAGTTCATTTCTAGATAATCTGGTAGACTATCATCATTTGGGGATATACTCAGTTTTAATATCCCTATGAAAGAGTTGATTGGGTTGTAAGCTACCTTGGGTTCTTTTTACAGAGAAAGGCAGAATAAAAATATTTTGAATAAATAAATACATAAATTGTAAAGGTTGTGGAAATCAGAAGATCTCAGTCAGTTTTTAACAACTCCAATAATAACAGAGACAAATCAGCTAATATTCTAGAGAAAAACAGTCCTTCTACTCCATGTTATATTCCTCAGTTTTGTATTGTAGATGGCTAAAGAAAGTGTAGTCCATGCTTAACCCCTACATTCTGTCTCTTTACATTAAGTAGACTGTTGGACTCCATGGTATAAATCCCAATATGCCATCTTTGCCATGTCTAGGAAAAGAGTAGCTTCAATAACGCTGACTCCATGCAAGCATGTATAGATTTTAATCCCAGGAGAGCAAGATAACAAAGCACTTCTTAATCTTTCATTTTGCTAAATGTTTCTTTGCTGGGTGCAGGCTTTGTGAAACTAGACAATGAAAGGAGAAAAAGACACCATGAATGAGAAATTAATGATGGTAATGAAACATGAAGAAGTCCCATCACAGAGGGGGGAAAGGATGTTTCAAGATGCTTGGAATACTTTTTGTCTCCCTCTTGCTTTGTGTGAGATGTGGTGACTATACTCAGAAATAAAAAGGTGCACCCCAGGAACACACACCATGGCCTGACAGTGTTTCTTTCCACTGAAGCCTGATCTAGAATAAAGTGCAGGGTGGATGGATCCTAATGGGGTCCCCTGCTCAGTCACAGAAGTGTGAGTTTCATGATTCTAAGAGTCACCAGGACCAAAGATTCTTCTCCTTGCCCCAAGGCTTTTTGTCAATTATGACATTTATGGGCATAGGCACCCTTCAGTCTCCAGAGACTATGGTAACATGCTCTGAATCGTGGAGTTTCCTCTCCAGAGCATGAAGCCTGGAAATTTCATAAAAAATTAATCATCTAAAGTGTGCATCCTCCTCCATTGGTTAAATGCAATAGCTAGCAACACAGGAGGAAAATGTAGCTCTCCTTTGTTTCATTTCAACAGGCAGATGTGGAACAAGAAGAAGCACCAAAGGAGAATCTGAACATGGCGGCAGACATCACCTTCCCATTCCTGCCTTCAGTGGATCCTTCAACGGGATATAATGCAACAGAGAATGGTACCGGATTCCCAAGCAACAGTAGCTATATTCCAGAGGACTATTATTATGATGATGATGATGACAATTTAGGACGGATTGTAATACCTAGCATTGTGACAATTGTTTCTCTTTTCGGAATGGTGGGGAATGGAATAGTCATCTGGATTCTTGGTTGTTGTATGAAGGGGAATTCTTTCACCACATACGTCTTGAATCTTTCCGTTTCAGACTTTGCTTTGCTCACAGCAATAGTTATGGAAAATACATGTCAGTTTTTAGACATGTTAGGCTATATGGACTTCCCTGATACTCTAGAAGATTTATTAAGCAGCCTCTCCCTTTCCACATTCAGCACAAGTCAATTTCTACTGGCAGCCATCAGCCTTGACAGGTGTGTTTGTCTGTTCTTCCCACTTTGGCATAAATGCCACCGGCCAATACATTTGTCCACCGCTGTGTGTGCTGCAGTATGGATCTTTACCCTCCTAATTTCTGCTGTTCATTTTGCCCTGTTTTCCTCTATTGGGTATGATGAGTTATGGTACTATCAGTTTCTCCTGAATGCTGTCCTTTGCCTGCCAACCATCTCTATCTCCACAATAGCCATGTTAGTTAAAGTCTGCTTCATGTCACCGCACCATAAACGAGGGAGGTTTTTAAAGGCCATTTTGCTGGCCCTTCTCTTCTTCCTCTTCTTTGGTTTTCCATTGAATTATGCTCAATTATTCATCATCTATGACATCCCTGATTTCCCCTATTTTCATGACTTTGCTCCCATTGGTGCATCTCTTAACAGTGCTGTTAATCCTTTCATCTATTTCCTGGTAGGAAGAGATAAAAAATCTCAATCTAGGTGGAAAATAAAGAAAATGTTTGAGAAGCTTTTCCAGGAAGAAGAACTCTGTAGGGAAGAAATTGAATCTCCCCCGCTTGAAACACATCTATGATCCCTCTAAGAGAATTTAAGAGTATGTTGTTTGGAATTACATTTCTAATGATCCAGATGTGCTTACCTTGTTTGCTGAATTGTACCAGTTTAGGTGCTTTGTCCAGAAAATAAGTGTCCTGTGCTGTAAATGTTATAATTAGGAAAATATAGAATAGAGATGGGAACTAATATAAAAAATGAACCGGGAAGTTTGGAAAAATAATAATTGGTTTAATAGTTTGGGCTCATCAAAACCAATGAACCAAAATGAACTGAACCAATGAACTTTTTTTGCCATTTAATAGTTTGTTTGCCCACCACCACCCTCTTCTCCTTGTCCCCGTTGCCTCCCTAGCTGGTCCTCCTGCTGGCTCCTTGTCTTCCTCCACCACTGCTGCCATCTTCAGAGACAGTGGCCTGGCTTTCTTTCTCTCTGCATCTGCTTGCCTATCAGATGGCAGCCATAGGCAGGGGCAGAGACCGTGGGCTGGCTTCTGTGAGTCAAGCCTGCTACCTCTATGCATGTGTCAGGGTCCCCATTGATCAGGGAGGACAGCTGGGACCCATGTTCCCTGTAAATAAATGTGCTTACCTTGTTTGCTATATTGTACCAGTTAAGGTGCTTTGTCCAGA